AGAAGACAGGAGGGCCTGGCGTGCTCTGGTCCATGGGGTCACGAAGAGTCGGACACGACTAAACGACTAAACACACACACACATCTCCTGTTTGACCACCTCCAGCTTCCCAAGGGTCATAGATCTTACATTCCAGGTTCCTATGCAGTATTTTTCTTTGCAGCATCGGACTTTCCTTTCACTTCCAGGCACGTCCACAGCTGAGCGTCCTTTCAGCTTTGGCCCAACCACTTCATTAGTTCTGGAGCTACTTGTACAGTACATGTCCTCTGCTCTTCCTCAGTAGAATGTTGGACGCCTTTCGACCTGAGGGTCCCATCTTCCAGCATCATATATTTTAGCCTTTTGTTTCTGATCATGGAGTTTTTTTGGTATAGATACTGGAGTGGCATTACTCCAGGTGGATTGCGTTTAGTTGGAACTCTCCACTGTGACCTGTCCGTCTTGGGTGTCCCTCCACGGCATAGCCCATAGCTTCTCTGAGTTACTTAAGCCGCTTTGCCACAACAAGGCAGCAATCCATGAAGGGGCGTTTAGTCAGAACTCTCCACTATGGCCTGTCCGTCTTGGGTGTCCCTGCATGACATATAGCCCATAGCTTCTCTGAGTTACTCAATCCATGAAGGGGAAAGCAAGGAGTACTGAGCAGCAAACTAAAAGTGTGTCTGTAGGGCCATTTTTTCTTGTTATACTTTGAGGAAAGGAAATGTGACAAATCATCTCTATTTTCTTTTATCTCACACTCCAGAGAGTGAATTATGTTGAATGTGTTTGAAAGCTATGGGATGTGATGGAAAGTGAAGTTTAGTCAGCATGATGCCTTACACTCATCAATAACACGCTTGCATTGGACGTATGATTGTTGTAGCTTTCTCTGTACAATCCACAAGAATTGGATTTGTAATAGACCTTTTAGGCTTCTAGCTGGCTTTGTACACTCATTATCCTGACTCACGCTGTGAGATTGAAATTAAAAGTTCTTTCTTTTTTTAAGAAAAGCAAGAATACATCTTACCGTTTTTTCATTCTATTTCCTTTTTCTTCTGTTTTTGTTTTCTGAATCAGTATATGTGTAATTGAGCTCCACAGGTCCTAATGAATAGTAGTGTTTCAAATAACAAACAGTTAATGTATTCAAAATAAATTTAAAATATTTATTTTGTGATGATTTTGCAGTGCCAGGAACTTTGTTTTTTAAATTTTTATACTCGAGTCCAAATTGCTTTTTCAGTAGCCTTGGCATTTTATAAGCCAGTAGTCAATTAATGTGCATCTCATTGCATTGCTCTTTGTATTTTCCAGCCAAATTTATTCCTCCCATTTTATTCCTCCCATTATTACTGTTTTTAGATGAAAGCCTTGATGTCCTCATATAAACAGTTATTAGTATGTTTTGGTATTAGCATATTTATTTGCAGCTGTGTACATATGTGAGGCAGAAACAGCTGGAGAGGTAGTCCTAGTTATTTTGTTGCCAAGGAATTTGGAAGTTCCTTCTTAGAACTTAGAAGTTTGTCTGAATCACAATTTCATGTAAATGCAACTTCATTTTTAGTCTATGTATCAGCTGTTCCAATTTCTATCCCATGTTTTTTTCCAATAGAGAAGTCCAAGGCAACTTATATTTTCCAAATTAATTTGTGGTGCTGCATTAATTTTAAAGGATCTATTTAGTATTAACATGATTATGTTTCCAGTATGTATGAAGTTTCTTGAGTTATTGGATGCAGCTCAACCCCATACTTAATGGACTATCAGCTGTAGTGATGGTCTGTTAGATATAGGCTACAGCTGTGAGAA